ATTATGACCCAAATAAATTCTAATGAACTCAGCGGGAGTTCAACGTCATATATATATCTGTTTACATTTGTCATCATTATTACTCAAGCCGTCGCATTGACCAACTCACGTGACTAATCGACAGTGTCGGTTTGTCAACAGTCGAAATAACTATGAAGAAATATGCTGACTTTGCATACTATGTAAATGCTTGTAGTTTATAAGTATTAGTGTAAATTAGTGTAAAAAATTTTGTATAAAAAGAGAATACTTTCAAATAAAAAAAATCAATGCTGATTACTCGTAAAAGCTGTCTACACTTCATTTCATGGGCCACCAGTTGATTACACCTCACAACAGTATACAATTTTGCAAACCTACAGATCACCTTATATGAATACGCCTTAAGCTGGTCTATTGCGATTAAGAATTTACGATATTAGAAAAGTATGTATGTACGTTGAAATTAAAACTGATAAATAAATTGGCGTCACTCATTAAGTGCATTTCAAAACCTAAAGACGTCTTCAGTATAATTTCATTTCTTCTGGAACTTGTTTGCTATAGGTCAAGTGCCATCCAATGGCCCGAGCAGCAGCTCCTTCCGGAGAGTACCCCCAGTGTTACAGCGGCAAAAACCAGCAGAATTTCAGGAATTTCGCAGGAATGCCCCCCCACAATAACGAAGTGGAAGTTATCCACATCACACCCGATAACAATCCCGACAGTCGCAAAAAACCTGATTCTAGTCCCGAGAATCCAGAATCCGGAATAGTCTCACAATTCCCGAAAATCCCGAAAATCGCAAAAAACCTGATTCTAGTACCGAGAATCCAGAATCCGGAATAGTCTCGCAAATCCCAAAAAACCCGAAATTCGTCCCGAAAGTAGCAAAAATCTAGATATTAGTCCCGATAATTCCGAAAGTCCCAAAAATTCCAATATTAGATGCTGAGCCAAATGAACTTTTCTCTCAAAGTTTACACTGCTGGCAAATGTAAATAAGGATTAAAATTTAAAAACTAATTAATACAACTAAAGTAAAATCTGTGGAAAATTATCAATAACATACTTTTTTCGCAAAATCTATAAAGGACTCTTCTATTTCTCAAAAAAACCTGGGTAACAGTTATTCGTCGCCACGCTGTACAGCGGTTGAATCCTGTTTGATAATCTCTTAAGTCTTGGCTTAATTCCGAGTAATCTTTTTCAAAATGATCTCCATAGACTCTCGGATCGACTCCCGATAGCAAGAATAGAGCGTATCCAAAAGGTATTTCTGAAATTCTCTCTTCGGTAGCTGATCTTTGCAGCTCCTATTCCATCGTACACATCCAGTCTTATGTTAATAAATCTCAAAACTCTCGAAAGCCGCAGATCTACATTATCGCTAACTTCCATCCGATACTAATGCAGTGCAAATGTCTGGAAATGGAACATTTTATTTTCAACAAGATTCTTTCCCGACAAGTAAAGCGAGAAATTCGAAAAGTTGGAGAAAAGACACTTTTTCCCAGGGTCTATCTCAACGGAAAAATGGACCAAATCTTCTTTATACTTAAACTCATCGGATTAGAGTTTGAGACTGTATGCCAAGCAAACTAGGTAACATAAATAACATGACCTTGGATAATTTCATAAAGAATTTAACAAAAATATGGAATGAAATATCAAACGAACCCCACCGTGCCGCTTTCGAAAATTTTCTTAAAGCAAGTCCTGCAAATTAAGGGTACGAGGATTCAAATTCATGCTTTAAATATGTCGCAAATAGGTTACATTTTTATGAATGAATCATTAATTAATCTAAATAAAGCTAGCCGCATCGTAATTCAAAACACTAAGTTCGACTGTTATTATTTTAGACGCTGTACATACATACATATCTAGTTTTGAAAAAAACTGAAAATTGTCCCTAAAATCTTAAAAATGTTGAAGCAGCCTTCTGTCTCGAAATAGTCCCGAGAACCCTACAAATTCTAGAAACATCGAAAGTCTTGAAATAGTTCCTTAAATCCTTGAATGGTCCCTAGAACTCCAAAAATCCTGAACTATTTTCGACTATTCCGAAGTCATCCCGAAAACTCCGTCGAAGTCTCAAAAATCTTGATATAGTCCCGAGAATTACAAGATAGTCCCCACAATCATAAAAATTTGTTTCGAAAATCCCGAATTATGCTCGAATGTCGCAAAAATCCCGATATTAGTCCCGAGAATTCCGGAGTAGCTTCTAAAATCAAAAAAATAGTCCCGAGAGTTCCAAAAATCCCGGTATTAGTCCGGGGAATCCCGAAAATCCCGTTATTAGTCCTAAGATTAACAAAAGTCACGAAAACTCCGAAGTTGCCTCCGAAACCCCGAATTAGTCTCGCATTTCCCAAACATCGCGAAATTCGTCCCGAAAACCGCAAAAATCCCAATATTAGTCCTAAGAATTCCGAAAGTCCCAAAAATTTCGATATTAGTCCTAAGAATACCGAAAGTCCGAAAAACTCCACTATAATTTCCGAGATTCCCGAAAGTCCCAAAAATTCCGTTATTGGTGCTGAGAATCCTGCGGTTGTCTGGAAAACCCCAAAATAGCCCCGAAACTCCCAAAAAACCCGATAGTAGTCCCAATATCGACAAATAAAATGATAGATATATCGATAAATATAACCATGTAAATATCCATAAATATAACGATGCAAACATCGATATGGATAACAAAAATATTCATAAATATATCGATATGTAAATCGATAAATACGACGAGAATTCCGAAATAGGTCCGAAAATTACGTAATAGTCCCGGGAATCTAGAAGTAGTCTCGATAATCCAGAAATAGCTTTGAAAATCCAGATTTAGTCCCATGAATCCCTGAAATCCCGAAATAGTTCCCAGTGGACAGAGAACAGTCATGCTGAGCGGACGTGTATGTTATTTGCTTTGCGTTTTACTTGATTCTTAGTGTACAGACACACAATTTTCACATTTTAAATTATTGAGATAGTGACTCTTATTGATTCTCAATCAATCTGTGCAAACCTGCCGTGTGTTTGTGCCCAAAAAATTCAAGCAAAGTCTGATGCAACTATTTTAGGGAGCGCGAATTCGGATTTTGACGTTATTACCTTCGTGGCTGAACAACAACTTTTTTGATCCGAATTAATTAATGTCTTTCGTAAAGATCGAGATGTCTACCCTGACGGAAATAATGCATAGTAAAAATGAATACTTTATATTTGATTGTCGTTTAAAAATGTTTGTATTTAAAAATAATATTTTCATACAAAATTTATTACGCACGTATTTGACTGTTCACATCTGAGTATGTATATGTAAGTGTACATACGCACCCCAAGCATTCAGAGCGCCGCACTGAGAGCGGTGACAAAACACACATACACACATAGCAAGAATGGTAGAATGAGAGTAGAATTCTCAAGAATTTCTGTCAATCGTGCATACATAGTACATACATGTTTATCCGAACAAATCGCGTTCTGTGGTGTTGATGGATACTCAATATTTGAAAGCAAATTTATATGTCTGGGTGTAGCTGAGTGCGCAAAGATGCTTGCCACAAGTTGTTGGTATCCGGAGATGGTCGGGGTCGAATTCCGCTGCAGGCAACATGCAAATAAATTTTTTTTTTAGTTTTTTCTTGATTATTCACTTCTCGGATGCTTTTTCAGTACGAACGCGGTCATTTTAATATGCGCGTAATTGAATTGAATATTTACCAATATACAGTACTTTCGATGACGTTTATAGTAAGATCAATTACGTTTCTAATTGATTTTAATATTTTTTTCCCTCAGTGTAAGTACGGGCTGGGGGTTGGTGTACTAATCGCGATCAGGCGTAATTTTGATTATTATTATTATTATTTATTTATTACAGCTCTCTTGAGCCTAATTCATTACAATATATGTAGACCTAACCTAGTTATTTAGTATTACATTGCTTAAGCTTAATGAAATCATTTGGAATGGCATTCATACATGGCAATTACAAGTTGAAATTACGGAACAATAGTAAACGGAAAACAAATATAAAGTAATACATTACATTATATTGGGATAGTTTTACAAAATTCAAACAACTTTCTTTTAAACTCATTGATGTTTTTACATTGCTTGACAGTATTTGGTAATTCA